TTCTACATAACTCGGACTGAGTATGGGCTAAAGATGTGTGTGTGTATGTGTGTGTGTGTGTGTGTGTGTGTGTGTATGAGAGAGAGAGAGAGAGAGACAGACAGAGAGAGAGGGACAGACAAACAGAAATCTCACACTGATGGAGATATTGGTGCTCTGGGCTGCAAGGCCTAAAGCTGGCTGGGGAGTGGCGGTCCTCACAGGATGCCTGATCCTCAGCCTCTGGCCCAGGCCCTTGTCTACCTGCATGAGAAAGAAAGATTCCCACTGCCCACCCCAAACTTGGATCATGCTGAGTCATGACTTGGGTCATGACAGGCCAAGCATGGCCTGTCCCCTTGCCCTGAGTCCAAGCTTGGGGCAGCAGATTCAGGGGTCATTTTGGAGGGTGCTGATTTCTCCTGGTCTCCTCACTCCCAGTGCCAGGAAAGGAAGGACCTGGAATAGCAAGCAGGCTGCTGGTGCCAGGTAGAGGGAGTGGCAGAGAGGGACACAGGAGCCAGGGCTGCTAAGGTAAGCAAACAGGCACCCAGGAGAGCTCTGTGGGTGGTCAGGTCTGTATCCTGTTGACCAGTCACCCTCCCACTGGGGTCGCCATCTGTGGAGTATCCCTGGAGAGCTCCCAGGAGTCCAGGGCAGGACTTGCACCCAGGGCTCCCGCGAGAACCCTGCTGGGCACTTCCTGCCCTGCCTCCATCACTGGGGTCAGGGTGAGGCGGGCACATTCCTGGAGCTGCCAACCCGGCTCGGCTCCGGGGCCTCTGAGCAAGGAGCAGGGAAAGTGGGGATGGCCTTCCCTCCAGGCTCCTGCCCTTGCAGCCTCCTCTCTGCAAGGAGCCCTGGGGAGAGGGGGGCCCTTGGCCTGCCCAGTCTTGTTCCTGGCATCGTCCTTAGGACCCTCTTCCCATCCTGAAGCCCTGAAGAAGGTCTATAAAATACTAATGATTCGCAGCTCCATATGTTTCCCCGGAGCCCATGTGGTCTTCCCTATCATCCCATGCAGCGGTAGGAAGGATGCGGGGTGTTACCTCCTTGTAGCAGAGGGAGAAAAGATGTTCCAAGAGATAGTCCAGCTGCAACATGGTGGAGCATGTCTGCTGGCCCCAGTCTGGTGCTGAGCGCCCCTGCGTACCTACAGTCTGGCTCAATCCTCCAAGGGCCACCAAGAGGACTCTCTAGGCTCTTGGCTGGCTTTGTACCTCAGTTGCCTCCCCATTCTCCCTATCCCCAGTCCAGTCTCCTGGGGACACTACTCAGTCCCACGGAATTCCAGTCAGCGGGGGCCAGCCTGCTGAAATTAGATGAAATTTTAAGAAGGTACCCAGGAGAGAAAGCTTCTGTGACTTCCTCCCCATCCCAGGCCCCTTTTGTCTCCACCTCACCCCATCCCCAGGCTGCTCACCCCCAGCATGGAGCATAGCCATCATGATGGAGGGGAACCAGGAGGTCTCACTGTTGCTGGCCTGGAAGTCTCGCTGCAGGTCGGTGAAGAACACGCCTATGCAGGTAGGGAAGGCCAAGGTGAGAGCCTGGGTCACCAGGGAGGCCAGCAGTACCACCCAGGCCCAGCTGCCGTCCGCGTGCTCCAGAGCCTGGGGCATCCTCTTCTACCAGTACGGCCACAGTCCTGTTCCGCCTAGTGACCACTGCCTGGAGAGGGGACAGATGGAGCCTGGTGGTGGGCAGGCTGCCAGCCCTCCCTCAACCCACTGCCGTCTTCCCTGGGTGGCTGAATCTGTCTCTTCCTCATGCTGCAGCACCAGGTATCACAGAGGGGCACCACCCCCTGGGAGGTGGCTAGAGGCCATACCTTGGCCTCGGCATCTCCTTTCACCCACTTCCCAGAGACAGCCTGGCAGGAGGAGGCAGGAAGTGCTGCAGGGGTGGGGCAGGCAGTGACCAATGGCACCAGGCTGCTAGGTGGAATTCTTTCCAGTAGTTATGTCACCTGGCGGTCAGCAGGTAGAACCTCCTGAGACCACTCAATAAATACTTGTGAGCAGGATTGAGCAGGATGCAGGTGGTGCCTTGGTAATCCCAGTGACTTGGGAGGTTGAGGCAGGAGGATCACAATGCTAGGCCAATATGGGCAACTTAGGGAGACCCCATCTCAAAACAAAAAAATATATTTATATATTTTTTGTACCAGGGTTACTTAACCACTGACCCACATCCCCAGCCCTTTTCATTTTTATTTTATTTTTTTAATTTTAAGACAGGGCCTCACTGAGACTGGCCTCAAATGTGTGATCCTCCTGCCTTGGCCTCCCAAATTGCTGAGATTATAAGTATCACCACCATGTCCAGCCAAAATTTTAAATGTGGCCTAATGGTACAGCACCTCTGGGTTCAATCCCCAGAAACAGAAAAAAGACAAAAAAGCACTGATAAAGTGCACTTCTAGGGCCAGTGAAATCCTAAGGTCCCCATAGGTGCACACAGATACATTTTCAAGCATTCTTGACCAGGCTTCCTAAATATTGACATAGATTTTCACAGTGCCGCACGAATTGCCTAATTTCATTGTCAACACTGCTGGGAAGGCCAGGGTGAATGGGCAGGCACTGAGTGTATGCATGGAGTACACAGTTTGGCTTGACAAGGGCATGTGACCCGGTGCTGACCTGCAGCTTTTAAAGATAAGGCAGGAGGTTCACTCCAAGGCTACAAAGAGCTCAAGGCCAAGAGTCAAGTTCCATGATCTGTTCAGTAATGATCTGCCACCTGCAAAGGCTCCTCTGTCACCCCTACCACCCCTACACACAGAGCCACACAGGCATGGATACACACAGTCACACACAGACACACACAGGTACACAAACTCATATGAAGACACACACTCACATAGACACACAAAGAGAATTCCAGAAACACAGACACATACGTCACTGACATGTAGACACACACGGTCACACACGGTATGCAGCCATATGTACTCATCCAGAGGCACACTAGTAGGTACACAAACACATTGGCAGTCACACACACAGTTACACACAGAGATAAACACACACGTGTGCACACACTCTCACATCTTTGCTCTGAAAGAGCGAAGCCGGGCATACCTGGTTCAGCACCACTGCCCAGCTCACTGCTCCCCATCAGAGAGCCTCTGCAGTTCCAAGGCCAAGCTCAGAGAGCTTTCCCACCCGCTCCAGTCCTGACTCACTTCCTGCTCCCTGCCTCGGCCTCCGGACCTCACCTACGCTCAGGCCTCTGGGCTGCAACAGGTAGTGAGGGAGCAGCCCCTGGCTCAGGTAGGACCTCAACCTGCTGGTCCTACGCCCTCCTCCCTTTGGCCCCAGGCCTTAGGAGGATCCTGGAAACTCCAGAAACTTCCAGGGAAGTTCTTCTGCCTAGCCCGGCACACTATACCATTTCCCCAAGCCCCAGAGAGATATTTTTCTTTTCTTTTCTTTTTGAGGTGGTGTCTTAAACTCCTCAAGTCATCCACCCACTCAGCACCTCCAGGTTTAAATTTAAAAATAAGTGTATATTTATTTTTAAAAATATTGTTTTAGTTGTAGTTGGGCACAATACCTTTATTTTATTTATTAAGTTTTATGTGGTGAGCATCAAACCCAGTACCTCACATGGGCAGGCGAGTGCTCTACCGCTGAGCCCCAGCCCCAGCCCTGGCCCCTGGGTTTTAAAACAGCATCAAAGCTGCTCACACCAAGCTGTCTTCTTCAAGGGTCCAAACCTCTTCCCTCTCAGAGGGCCCCAGAACACCTGCCCAGGTAGGAAGCACCTTACCACAGTCTCAGGATGTGAGCGTGTGTGAGCCTGTGGGCGGGGCAGGCGTCTCCTGCTCCCCTGGGCCTGCACGGCGGCGCACTCAGCTCTAGAGACATCCCGGCCCGTGATCCTCTGGTGGTCCAGGTCGGCAGCGGACCAGGTGCCTCACGTGGGGCTCCTCCAGGAAACTGGTTCTTACCTCTTCCAAGAGCTCTGTTCCGCCAGCAAATGGTAAGGCCCCAGGTGCTGCTGGATTCCCTGGTGCACCCCAGGGCCACGGTCCACAGCCTCTCCTCAGGTAGGACCTCGACCTGCCTCCCCTACCGCCTACCTACCGCCCCTCTGCCCTGCCTTCACACCCAGCACCCACCAGCCTCGGGCTCCGCCTGCCCCTCCCAGCTTTCTCTCCTTACCCACCTGCTCTGGTCCTTCTTGTTCTTTCTTGTCTTGTTCCCTTGGGGGAGAAGGCTTATGAAACTGTCACTTTCCTAAGCAGCCTTTTTGGGGACTTTGCCCGTGCCGCTGGGATCTTTTCTCTGTTACCTTCCCCCATACCTGTCTGTGGGTGGGGCTGGCTCCTTCCTGGTGTCTCCCCTCCCTAGGTCTCTGGAGGCCCGATCCTGGGGTGCAGCCTACGCAGCTAGGACACCAGAGTCAGGGGACCCTTTGCACTTGACTCAGTTTGTACCCACAGGGAGCTGTGTCCCAGCTCTGAGGCCCCAGTCTCCCTCTGGGACCCCCTGCACACTCCACCTTCCACGAGGGGACTGTCCCTTCCCGCATTGCCAGAATTCCCCGGTCACAAGCATTTACCCTCCAGTTGGCCCTCCAGTCCCCTCCCTCCAGGGGATGGTTCCTCCTTGGCTGCCAGAGAGAATCTGGTTGTCCTTCAGGATTCAGCCCTTGCAGCACCCCTAGGAGCCTTCCCTGAGCCCACCGCAGGTCGGCCAGGTCCCTTCCTGTTTGCTATTCTGAATAGTGGCCTTCACGTCACACTGGGGGGAGTCATCCCTTGTTCCTTTCACTAACATCCCTCCTACCCTCTTCTCACTGGGAGCAGGGCCTGCTGCTGAGCACAGGAGATCATGTCCACATGACCCACTGTGCTTCTGGGGGCAGACAAGCCCAGGACCAGGGGTGACCTGGCTTCCTGGAGGTGCATTCCAGAAGACTTAAGCGGGACAGAGAAGAGCGGAGCCTGGGGGCTGCTCTCGCCTCTGCCCTGGCAGGAAAGTGGTCTTTCCTTCGCACTGGGAACCACGAGTCATGGGCATTGATGGGGCAGGATGGAACAAGGAGGGAGACAGAGCCAACACAAGGTCCGTGCTTGGCTTCCAGACGGCCATCTTCAGTGACAGGCGCCATTTTAAGGAAAAAGTTTGGCTTCCCTGCCCAAGGGCCTTGCTGAGAAAGGCTCACCACTCCCTCATCACAACCCCACCCTTAGCCACCCACATTAGGACCCGCCTGGCCCTGACTCCTGAGCCTGCCCCATAGAAGTCCCAGAACCCAAGTCTGTCCTGCCTCTCTCTCCCATCGAGAGACGGCCTTAGTTTGTCAGCTCTGACAAATAAACTCTCTAGTGTATCTCTGCCTGGTCTTTCTCCGTTTTTCGTTTCTCACTCGCTGGTCTCTCGGTCCTCGCTTTCCCTTCAGCCAAGGCGCTTTGGTCTCACTTCCTGGGAGTCGGCGTGAAATGGGCCACAGGAGCTGCCGGCCTCAGCTCTCAGGGACACCCCACCCAGTGAGACCAGCTCCATAGACAAGTACCTTGAAGCTGGGTTTGTGGGCAAGACAAAAACTCAGAGGTTTCTGGTCCCTCATGTCACGTCACAGTCTAGTCTGTGTCTTCATCAGATGGCGGAGCCCTAAAGACATAGATGAGCAGGGTCAACAGAGAACCTGATCTCCAAGGCCTTCATAATCCTTTCCCTGCCTCCTTGAAGCTTGGAAGCTTCGTCACAAGGGTGAGCTGATGCTCTCAGACAGGGCCTTGGGGCCACCTATTGTCCAGAGGGGAGGGCAGCCTCTTTCCAGCCACGGTGGACAGCCCCAAGGGCAGGCAATGTGGAACCACCCTCCTAGGAAGTACAAAAGGCTGGGCGGCCTGGCAGCCCCGGGACCCTCCCCTCCCGAGATCTCATATTGAGCAGGCTCTGGTGCCTGGACCAGGACATAGTGGGGAACAGAAGGGTTCCCACCCAGCAGGAGAGCTTGGGACTGTCAACTCCCTGAGCCTGGTCTGGGAATGGAAGGGACAGAAGGGGTCAGAGATTGGGGAGCTGGGCAAGTCACCTCTCTCCTTCTCCTGCCCCCAAAGCATACCTCCTGCTGTTCCCTGGCAATGGGAACTCCAGGACGTCCTCTGACTCTGATCCCAGCCTCGCTGTCCCACCGGGGATCTCCTTCCTTCCTTCCTTCCTGCCTTCCTTCCTGTGCTGGGGATGGAACCTAAGACTTCATGCATGCTAGGCAAACTGCCACTGAACTACACCCCAGCCTAGGGATTTGGTTCCTGCCCTCTCTAGAGTAGATCTTCTCTGGGCCGGGGCTCTGGGATACCCTGGGAAAAGCCTGCCTTGAACCCAAGGTCTTGGCGGTCAGGGATGGTTCCGAAGAGCACCCTCCTCAGGTGAGAGAGTTTCTGGTCACCCCAGGTCTGAGGCTGTGCAGAACCTGAAGAAGAGGAAGACCAAGTCATAGAGCCAGGAACCCTAGAGGCACTCACCCGTCAGCAGGCCTAGACTGGGATGTTTGCATGTCATTCGCATGTGGTTTGCACAACCCAGAAGCACAGTTTCTGGTTTCCCCACTCTAGGCTTTAGGGCGCCAGGAGTTCCCACTGAGAAGTCTTCTTCTCCTTCTCCTCTTCCTCTTTCTCCTCCTTCTCCTCCTCCTCTTTCTTCTTTTGTTTTGTACTGAGGATTGAACCCAGGGGTTGGCACACACTAAGTGAGTGCTCTGCCATGAAGCTACATCCCCAGCACTTTTTATTTTTTATTTTGAGACAGGATCTTACTAGCTGCCAAGACCGGCCTTGATCTTGTGATCCTCCTGCCTTAGCCTCCTGAGTCTCTGAGATTCCAGATGTGCACCTTCTCCTGCCCCTGCCTGGCTTGAGAAAGACCTTCAAGAAACTACATGGCTGGGTAGAGCACTTGCCTACTGGGCGTAAGGCCCTAGTGCGTACCAACACCACACACACACACACACACACACACACACACACACACACACACCAGACTTCACTTCTCAGCATCTTGGGTTACACACTAATCAGTTCCTAGATGAAGACTGTTCATAAAGTGTGATCCTGAATGAAACTGAAAGGGGAAACTAGCTACCTCCCTTATCTCCTGCCTTTAGGTGCAGAGCAATGGAGCATGCTCATAACATCTGCGGAACTCCACCTGTCAGGCGGCAGTGACCTAGCCCATGCGTCCCCCCTGCTGGTAGGCATGGGGCAGCCCTCCATTTTGTCCTAGCTCTGCTGCCACGAGGAGCACTGGAGTAATAAAGCCTCCACCACCTCTCAGTTGAGTCCTCCATATTCTTTGGGATCCGTAAACAGTCCGCTGGGGCATTTGCAATCTTGGGGCAGAACACAGCTGGGGTGGGGTGCGGTGGGGACAGAGGCCAAGGTGGAGGATTCCCTTCTTGCTGACTTCAGCTGCCCAGGAGTCCTTCCAATGAAAACCTAGAGCTTGGCGGCCCGTACCCCCTGGCATGCAGGCAGACAGCAGTGGGGAGCAGGGCAGGCTTGTCAGGACACTGTCACTTCCACTTGGGCCCCTCTGAACTCCAGGACCTCCTGGAGCTTCTCTCCCACCCAGCCAACCCTTGACGTGCATTATTTAAAATGTATTCGATCACTGCAAAGTTAAAATAATCAAGACAGCGTGGTGCTGGGGGTACCGTGACTGGAACTTCTGCCCTAGTGACAGTAGGTTTACCTCTAGGAGACGGGGGACAGCCCGGAGGGAGACTAGTCTGCTCCCTGAAAAGGGACAACCCTTTCCCTGATGGCTGGGGTGGGCAGGGTCTGGCTGATGCTACCTCCGTCCTGCTTCCGCCAGGTGGCTCTGGAGGGGTCCTTATCACTCCTGTGGGCAGCATCCATTTGTTTTGTGGGGTGTTATCTATTAGACCTGTGCTCCTGGAGGGGGATTCCACTCCCATGCGGTGACCGATCCCGCTTCGGGGGGCCAGTCTTGTGGAGGGCTGTGGGCCTGCGAGGCTGCGCTGTTCCCGGAATGTACAGGGCAGTGAGTGGACACCTCTGGGTGCCCCTCAAGGGGTCTGGAACAGGACGTTGTAGAAACTGGAAGTGGAGTGTCCCCGCAAGTGTTGAAAATACCTTGGTGACTCTTTCCTTGCTGTCTCCAGCCTCGAAACGGGAGGAGAGACGTGGGTAAATTTAGGGCCAACCAACCTTGTTTTACCAGTTTTTAGATGAACGTTCCTTAAGTGATTAATGTGTGCAGAGCTGAGCAGGAGCCTGATCCACAGGTTAGGTAATAAAGGAGACAGGCGCAAAAAGAAGACAAGGTGCCAAGCTTTATCCTGGCTTTAGTCACCGGTGGGACATCGGCAGGCCCGAGTGAAGAGCGGGTGCTTCTCAGTAAAGGCAGCCTCTCTAAGGCTCTGTTATAATCGGGGGTTTGGGCTCAGTTTTTTTTTTTGTGATGCTGAGGATTGAACCCAGGGATGCTCTACCACAGAGCCCACATCCCCAGCCTTTTTTATTTTGAGACAACCTCTCCCTAACTTGCCAAGACTGGCCTCCTCTTTGTGATTCTCCTGCCTGAGCTTCCTGGGTTGCTGGGATTGCAGGGCTGTGTGTGGATTCTTGGATACCACACCAAAAGTACAAAAGAAAAAGGGAAAACACATCAACCAGACTCCTTCAAAATCATCACGCTTGACCAGGTGCAGTGGTTCACGCCTGTCATCCAGCGTCTCAGGAAGCTGAGGCAGGAGAATGGCAAGTTCAAGGACAGCCTCAACAGCTGAGTGAGGCCCTAAGAAACTTAGGGAGACTGTGTTTCAAAATAAAAAAAAAATAAATAAAAAGATCTGGGGATGTAGGTCTGTGGCAAAGTATACCTGGGTTTAATCACCCATACAAAAAAAAAAAAAAATCAGGCTTTCGGTCTTCAAAAGATATCATCCTGAAGGTAATGGCTACCTCACAGAATGGGGGCAAATATCTGCAAATCACATTTCTGATAAGAAACTTGTATCAAGAATATAATAGAGAACTCTAACAACTCAGTAAAAAAAAAAAAAAATAGCCCCATTTAAAGATGGTCCAAGGACTCAAATAGACATTTCTCCCAAGAAGCTTCAGAAATGCTTCAGGTGCACGTGACAATGCTCAACCTTGTGAGGCAACAAGGAAATGCAAATGAAAGCCACAAAAAGCTGGCACTTCACACCAGTGGGATGGCGCAGCGCTGGGCAGTCGCGCAGGAGATGCTGTGCTTGTACCCGGCTTGAAGGAACATTTTATTTTTATTTTTTAAATATGGAATGCCTCTTGAATTTGTGCGTTGTCCTTGTGCAAGGACCACGATGATCTTCTCTGGATCCTTCCAGTTTGTTCTATGTGCTGCCAGAGCAGCTTATTAGACAGAGGTCACTGTGTTCTTAGGATTCATCTTCTAGCTGACAATCTAAGGGGTGGTGTTGGTTGTTGGCACCCTCGTCCTCATCTTCCTCTTCCTCCTCCTCCTCCTCCTCCTCCTGGGGATCAAACTCAGGGCTTCAAACATGCTAGCCTATATTCTACCACTGAGCTACATCCTCAGTCCTTTGTAAAATTTTTATTTTGAGACAGGGTCTCAGTAAGTTACTGAGGCTGGCCTCAAACTTGTGATCCTTCTGCTTCAGCCTCCCAAGCTGCTGAATTACAGGTGTACGTCACTGTGCCTGACTCACTCTGATCTTTAATTGCCAAAGAAGAGTTGCTTTTTTATATGAGGGCTATTCAGCTTAGTTCTAAATCCCCTGGAGGAGGGTGGACCCCGTAAGATTTGCCTCATCATCCTAAAGAGATGGTCCCTGGTTCCTGTATGGGGAACAGTGGGTCACACAGTGGCACCACGGCACCACCCCTGTGCCAGCCTCGCCCAGTCCTGTGAGAACACCTTCAGAACAGGCTGGATCCAGCCTCCTCCCTCCTGTCCCTGGCTGTTCTGGCACACTCAGGGACTTACCCTAAAGACTCCTTCCCCTCCATGAAAAACATCAGACAGGGGGCCGGGGGGTGGCTCAGTGGTAAAACACTGGCCAGGCATGTGCGAGGCACTGGGTTCCATTCTCAGCACCACATGAAAATAAATAAATAAAGTCCATAATCTGATTTTTTTTTTTTTAATATGAAACAGGGGAGTTTTCACGGGTCTGTGCTCTGCGAGCCCCACCCTGAACTTTGACCTCTGCTTCATCAAGATGAAGTTGATAGAGCTCTGGGGGCCCCTCCCTCACCATCCTGGACTCTGGTGACTCTGTAGGGTGAAGTTCCCACTGGGCTGGGCATGGTCACTGTGGCTTCATGCCGTATGCCTGTGGAAGGCAGCTGCAGGAGGCGGCGGGCCAGGGGACATAGTGTCCACAAAGCAAGGGTCCTGCCTGTGGGCGCGGTGGCACACGTCTGTAATCCCAGCAGCTTGGGAGGCTGAGGCAGGGGGATCGTGAGTTCAAAGCCAGCCTCAGTCATTTAGGCAGGCCCTAAGCAACTCAGTGAGACCCTGACTCCAGATAAAATACAAAAAAGGGCTGGAGATGTGGCTCAGTGGTCAAGTGCCCCTGAGTTCAATCCCCGGCACATAAGTAAATAAATAAATAAATAGGTGATCCGGTGGGTGGCTGCTGAGTCCTGGTGTCAGCTCAGTGACTGGGGCCCCCAAATAATAAATCCTTAGGATTAATAATGAGCAAATAACTGGTGATTAACGGCAGAAAATTCAGTAAGAGTAATAGCAACACCACCCAATTGTTGCTCTGCCTGGCCCCTTGAGATCTTCACGTGGTTGTTCCCTTCTCCTGGGACAATTTGCCCTGATAATCCTTCAGGTTGGCCTTCAGGTGTCTGCTTTGAGGCCTCTTCCTCCAGGAAGGCCTCCCTGCTCACTGTGGCCTCTCATACCCACTGAGCTCCCGAGACTCAGCAGCTTCCTTTTCCCGCACTAGGCACATCCAGTAACCAGGGTGATCCCAGCCATGGTAACGAGGCCAGCAGGATGGAGCTGGGATCTGAGTGCTGTCCAGGTACTGGTTCCTGGGCTGGGTGAAGGAGCCAAGTCCTGTCACCGAGTCACTCGCCTGTGACTGTATCTTAACACCCCAAGCCCAGGGCCTGGGGTCCTTGAGGGTTACTTTAACTACTTGAGAGTTCCAGATGGGTTCCTCCTCCCTCTGGCCTCCACCCCACCTCTTGGCGTCTGGTATGACATCCCTGGCATGACCAGAGTGCCCTCTGCTGGGGCGTTGGGGCCACATCTGCCTGGGTTTGGGTGCTGCTGAGTGGCTGGAGCCCCCTCAGTGCCTTCTTGTCTCTAGGTGCCTCCTTCTGCCCCTGCTGCAGGGACAGCTTCTCTGTCCTCTCTCCACGGAGTCCTGGCGAGGCTGCTCCTCTCGGCTTCGCGGCTGCACCTTCAGATTCATCTCCCACTTTCCAGGTCTTCCCCAGGAAGCTGCCCCGGCGTGGCGCCCCCCGACTGCTCTGCCCCCGCCCTGGCAGAGCTCCTGGTCTGTTGCCCTTTCCCAGGCCACCCAGGCCACCCACCCATCAGTTCCTCCTCACCTGCCGCACCACGCTGCCCCTACCCGGCTGCCTGTGCCCTCGCCTCACCTCCAGCGCCCTCCTCCCCCAGCCTGGCTGGCTCCCAGCTCACACACTGTGTCCCCTTTCCAGTCACCTCTGATGCCCCCACAACTGTCCTAGGACAAACCGGACATGCTGCTCCCGAGGGCCTCCTGTGAGCTCAGGGTGCTCCAGAATCAAGTCCAGGTTTCTCCTGGCCCCTGCCTCCTGCCGGTCCTCTCCTTGGCTGCTGTCACCTGGTGCTTCTCCAGGGCTCTGGGCAATACCCACTGCCTGCTGTGACCACCTCCCTGGGGACCCCTCCCTGGTGGCCGCTGCTGTCACAGTTTCCCACGGGCTGGGACCCCTGGGGCTATCTGCTCTGGCACCTCCAGCCCTGGCGGAGCACCCCGTGAGTGACACACAGGGCTCGCTGGTTCCTGGTGCCTCCCTAGCACAGTACCTGGCCCTCGGTGACTGACAGCAGCAGAAGTGTATTATCTCGTGGTCCTGGAAGTCATGAGGTCACGATGGCAGAAGTCACCAGGCTAGAACCCAGGTGTTGGCAGGATTGGTTGCTCCTTGAATCTCTGAGAATGACGCCATGCCAGGCCTTTCAGCTCCAGTGGTGACCAGTAGTCCTGGGTGCTCCCTGGACAGCGCACACGCCTTCCTAGTCTCGGCCGGCGTCTTCCCCCTGTGCCTATTTTATCTTATAAAGAATGATCCTAGATCCTATTCTAAAGAAGGTCACATTCCAGGTGGACATGAGTTTTGGGGGGACACTGTCCAATCCATACAAGTGTCCAGTGAGCGCTTGTGGCTCTATGGCTGCCCACATTCCCTGAGGGGCCTTCCCGTGTCCCTGGCCTTGCCCTCTCCTTCTTCTTCCCTGTGTGGGAGGGTTGCAGCATTTTCTTTCTGTTTTTGGGGAGGGGCACCAGGGATTGAACTCAGGGGCACTTGACCACTGAGCCACATCCCAGCCCTATTTTGTATTTTATTTAGAGACAGAGTCTCACTGAGTTGCTTAGCGCCTCACTTTTGCTGAGGCTGGCTTTGAACTCGTGATCCTCCTGCCTCAGCCTCCTGAGCTGCTGGGATTACAGGCCTGAGCTACCTCGCCTGGCATTTTCTGACACCGCAGACTCCTTCCCCTCCACTTCCTCCTCCTCCTCCTCCTCCTCCTCCTTCTTTATACTGGGGACTGAAACCAGGGCACTTTACCCCCTGAGCCACATCCCCAGGCCTTGTTTTCTATTCTCCCTCCAGGGGAGTGCTGCGTCACCAGGGCCTTGCACATGCCAGGCAAGTGCTTTACCCCTGAGCCCCAGACACAGCCCTTCCTTTGTTTGACAAATTGTGGAGGCTGGCCTTGAACTTGCCACCCTCCTGCCTCAGTCTCTTGAGTCACTGGGATTACAGGCATAGTTCACCATGCTGCCCTCCTCCTCCTCCTTAAAACGCACTCTCCTTGACCTGCGTGGGGTAACTCTCTTCTGGGTTTCCTCCCCTTCGTCTGGTCACTGGTCATTGCTCTGCTCTTGTTTACTCTTATTTTTTTTTGGGGGGGGGTGATACTGGAGAGTGAATCCAGTGGGGCTTTTACCACTAGCCACATCCCAGCCCTTATGTATTTATTGTTTGATACAAGGCCTCATTAAGTTGCTGAGGCAGGACTTGAATTTGTGATTGTCCTTCTTCAGCCCTTGATTTTTGAAAGGTGAACCTGCAGCTGACCTTCACCCTCCCTGTCTCAGCCCATCCACCACCCGTCTCCCACCAGCCCCCTCTCCCACCCCCCCCACCTGCACACTGACAGTTCCATATCCTATAAGTCTGGACCTGATAGCCAATCTGCACCTGTACTTGTATGCCTGGGAGGATTTTTTTTTTTAATGCTATTCCTTGAAGGACAGCAGACTGACATTTTTTTTACATAACTTTGTTTTATTTACTTATTTTTTATGTGGTGCTGAGGATTGAACCAGGGCCTTGCATGTGCAAGGAGAGCGCTCTACCGCTGAGCCACAACCCCAGCCTCAGAGGCTCTTAAAACCCAGCATTGACCAGAACTTGTGTGGACATTGCCCTTCTCTGCCATAGCTTCTCTCTCTCTTTGGCTCTGTCTCTCTCCCTCGCTAGTTTTTTTTTTTGGTGTGTGTGTGTGTGTGTGGTGCTGGGAAAGGGCAACAGACCAGAAGCTCTGCCAGGGCGTGAGCAGAGCGGTCGGGGGGCTCCACGCCGGGGCAGCTTCCTGGGGAAGACCTGGAAAGTGGGAGATGAATCTGAAAGTGCAGCCGTGAAGCCGAGAGGAGCAGCCTCGTCAGGACTCCGTGGAGAGAGGACAGAGAAGCTGTCCCTGCAGCAGGGGCAGAAGGAGGGACCTAGAGAAAAGAAGGCACTGAGGGGGCTCCAGCCACTCAGCAGCATTCTATCCCAGGCAGATGTGGCCCCACCTGGGGCTGTGTGCACACAGGCAAGTGCTCTACCACTGAGCTTCATCCCAGTCCTTTTAATTTTTTGAGATAGGCTCTCAGAAGTTGCTGAGGCTGACCTCTAGCCTGCAATCCTCCTACCTCAGTCTCCCTGTTACTGGATTATAGGCATGTGCCACCACGCCCAGCTCCTGGCTCCCGGCTCCCGGCTCCCTCTATTTCTCATATTTCACAAAATATCCTGCTTTTGGTTTTTCATCCAACTGATAAAAAAAAAAATAGAAAAACCATTATTTAACTCACAAGTCACACAAAAACAAGTGGTGGTCTATAATTTGCTGATCCCTGATTTAAAGAATTCCATGATTATTCTCTGCATCACTTGGTCACAAGCTCTGTGAGGGTAGGGACTAGTCTCTTAGCTCACCAGTGGGTCCCTACGGCCTGACACATGGTATGAAAGAATTGTCCCCTCCTCAGTCTTATTTGTTGAATGAGGAAGTCCAGTCAGTACACAGGTCGACTTACTAAATCTGCTGTGAGGTGGATACTGTCATTATCCCTCCCCCCCAAGAGAGGAACAGAGAAGTTAAGCTAGTCTGCTTAAGGTCACACAGTGGCAAGTGGCAGAGCCATGATTTGAACCAGGCTGCCTGGTTTTGGTCCACGTGCTTTCCCACCATCTCCCCTCCCATCCAGCAGGGACCTCCTCCCTACCTCAGGTCACCCTCAGCCCTGACACTTCCAGTCAGATGGCTCCATGGCCGCCTCTTCATCCTCGATGTGTAGCTCAGTGGGGTCACCACTGTGACTGATGTCCAGTGTGCCCCCCACCCTCGAAGCTGTCCTGGGGCAGGGACTGGGTCTATCTTGCTTCCTGCCATACTCTCTGTGCCAAGCTTCATGTCACCCAGGGGACACGGAGCCAGGAGCTACTCAGCGTACTTGTAGGGAACACTGGAGCAGAAATCTTAACTGTCGGTGTCATCTCCAGGGGTTGCTGTGTGAGACACAAAAGCAACAAAGACACTTGTCCTCCAGGTAGGAAGAGCCTGTAGCCGCTTCATGAGGCAGATGCCGCCTCCAGAAGCACTTGGCAGGACACCAGAAGCTCTTAAAACTGTGCCCTTGGGCTTCTGGCGCTTGGATTGCTATTTATTTTGGCAGACGGTGTTATTTGAACTTCACTGCAGCAGTGCACGTGCGTGCTAGTAACACCAGGGTTGCCCTCAGCATTTAGGTTGTTCTGTTTTTGCTTTTGTTTTTCGATGCTGGGGATGACACCCAGGGCTCCACACGCGCTAGGCAAGTGCCGCGCCACTGAGCTGCATCCCTAGCCCTGGGGCGGGACCTCTTTCCCCTGCAGGACAGCTCCCCATCGTCCAGCCACTCAGTTCTGTGAGCATCTTCCAGAACTGTGTCACCTCCAGCTAGGGTGAACGGGCCAAGCCACTTGCCTGGGGCTCAGTATGTAAGGGGGACACCAAAAAGCTCAGTGATCAAGGTGGAAAAATTAATGCAAACCATGGCCCAGGAAGTGGTGACCTGGCTTTGTGAATGAATTTCGTTGGTACCAGGGCTGAGATTAGCGTCAGTGGGTGAGGCATGGTGTTCCAGCGCCAGCTCAGGCCTGGTCTTTATTTACAATTTTAATATTTTGTCTGCTGCGGGATTTTGCGTTGTTTAGAGAAATGTTACATTAACATATTACTTAGGTTGAACGTTGAGTTCACACCTTCCCTGGCCTCACCCGTGGTCCCTGCCTTGCCCAAAGCGCCGCTTGTTTCCCAACTGCCAGGTCTGAGAAGCCCAGGGAGCCAACCGTCCTCAACAGGTATGAATGGTGTCCCTATGTGTACTTTTTTTTTGTTGTTGTTCTAGGGATTGAACCCAGGGGTGCTTAACCACTGAGCCCCAGGCCCAGCCCTTTTTTGTATTTTGAGACAGGTTCTCAGTTGCTTAGGGCCTCCCTAAATTGCTGAGGCTGGCCTGGAACTTGCCATCCTCCTACCTCAGCCTTCTGAGACGTGAGGATTACGGGCCCTCGCCCTCATGCCCAGCCTCTGCGCATGCCATTTTGCAGGTTAGGAAACAAGTTGGTAGAGGTGGGTGTCTCTCCCCTCCCACACCTGTCCCGGAGAACCTTCAGGCTCTAGGGGAGGTGGAAATGGGGACAGACACAGGCAGGTCCTTTGCCCCCACCTAGCTCAGCCGGCACAGTGTCTTAGCTTCATGAGGAGGAAAGGGGTAGTGAAAGAGAAGGAAGTAGGGAGCTCTGTGTTTGGGCCACCTACACCTGGCCTCACCTGACCCAGGAAAGGATCCAAGTGGTCCCGCCCTCCCACTTCAGTCCTGGTATCAACTCCTATTAAGCACTGGCTGTGTCAGGCAGCCATTAATGGGGAATTCTTATTCAAAACACCATGCAATGTGGGTGCCAGAAGGGGCGCACGCAGAGTGCATTATGGGCACAGAAAGGAGGGAAACAATCTGCCTTCCTCCCAGGAAGAGTGCAGAGGTGAGTCTAAGCCGTCTTGGAGACCTCCCACTATGCCTGGCAGGGCCTCTGTGGGGCTGCCACGGACTCCTCCCCCCACGCTCAGCCCTAAGCATCCCACCCTTGGGTGGAGAGAAGACCAGAGCTTCCTGCCCAGGCTCTTGTCATCTGGTCCTGCTTCCCACCCTGTCCACCTGTGGGAACGGATGATGACATACTGCCACCATCCTTTGGCCCTGCTAGCACCCTCCTGTGTGTGGGTGGGTGGAACTTGGAGTAACATGGCTTTGGCTGGGTTGCCTCTTGCCACCACCTTTAGTGGGTACCAGGAAGAGAGATAAAACAAAGCCATAGGACTCATTTGTAGCTTGTAACATTATGCATTCTACAATGAACAAATTATTTTTGCATTTTGAAGGTAACTTAGGAAAACATATGAGTTGTAACTGTTTCCTGGTGTTCTACATCTCCAGCTGACCCACAGCTCTGTCTTGACCCACAGCTCTGTTTGCTCAAGACTGTAGGAAACACTCCAGGAGAGGGTCTTGAGGGGGTAGAACTTGGGTGGTTTTATTTTCATATCGTGTGAGAGTTCTCCACAATGAACACATTATACAAGAGGCTGTGTAGCCTAGTGGTTAAAAACAGACTGCTCCCTGGTGTGATGGCACATGCCTGTCATCCCAGAGACTTGGGAGGCTGAAACAGGAGGATTGCAAGTTTGAGACCAGCCTAGGCAACCTAGCAAGACCCTCAGCAACTTAGTAAGACCCTGTTTTAGGGCTG